TATGTAAGAAGTTAATACATATGAATATAGTTAAGAATACCATTTCGTTAACGTTGACATCATACATCTCTGTGATAAATAACTGCACGCTCACATTTGTTGGCTGTTCTTCGTATATATCTAAAACATGTATATATGGTATATATATATAGATATATATATGGAACCATTCAATATGATAATAAAAGTTTGTTCAGTGAACCATTTTATCTTTAAAAAAAAAAAGTAATGACAGTTCATTGTTAATTTGATATCACATCATGTCTCCAAAATATATTGACAACCTATTGTAATATCAACAATGAATAATGGGCTGTAATGAAATCCCTTTTGATTTAAAAATGATTTGAAGTCTTTGGAAGCCAGTTAAGATCAGGGTGTAGTTTTTTTAAGAGTTAGATTATTCGATTAAACTAAGCCGTTAAAACGAATTATGTAGTCATGATAACGAGTTTGTTAAGTCGTAAAAACGAGATACTTAGTCGTTGAAACGAGTTAGCTTTCTCGTTATAACAAGTAACTAAACCGTGATAACGACTCCAAATTAAACTACACCCAAACACTAACCGGCTTCCATAGAATTTTTTCTGCATCGTGATATGCCATGATTTGTTATTTGATGTTAAAACATATTGTGACGTCATTAATTGCTGTAAAATGATTTGCTTAATGGGGTACACAACACTTTGACTATGCCAGATTCGGCTCGTTTAATTTTCATAACATTTTGACAAAACATTTTCTTTGATCTGTTGACAAAAATATAAAGATTTCAAGAAATTTGAACCACACAGTTTACAGGAATATTTTCATTGGATATATAGCAGTTTTACAAACACTAATTTTATTCACTGAGAAGCTCGATTTATCTTTATATACTAATAGTTCGTGATTTTAAAAAACGTTCACCTGATGTTTTAAGAGTTTACTCCCTTAGGTGTTCTGTACCCCCTTGATTAAGGGTGACAAATGGTTACAAAAATGTATACTACACATACTGTTAGCCAATGAAATTTAAAGTCCGTTCTGTTATTTCAATTAGCGTTTATAGAGTATCAGTTCCAAAGAAAGTAGCTGAACTCATACTTTACTGAAATGTTTTTTTCCCATATTATTTTCGCCATAGGCGATATAGCCTGTTTCATATTCCAAAGCAAATTAGTTTTTTAGCACTTACCGCCCAAATCTATTCCAGGTGGGATCCTTTTGTCATAATTTCTGTTTTCAATGATATCAAGCAGAATTTGTCGTCTAACGTTTTTGAAAATAAATATAAAAAAATGAATAACGAGAGTGAACGGAGAGAACATGCTGTAATAATATGATATCGTGTGCCATTGAAAAGAAAGGGGGTTTATATTTAACAGGTAAATAAAATATATGTAATAAAATACAAGAGTGCACAAGCCTGCTTTATTGATCATGATTGTATTTGTGTTGAAGGTCTTAGAGGAAAAGGTCATACTACAAATATTACACAAAGTTATCATTATCCATGCGAATGAGATTAAGGTCAGATTAACCCTGTCAAAAAGACATGTAGGCCTTACTATCTTTCCATACACCAAATATAGTTGACTATTATTTATAGTTTACGGACTTAACTATGAAAATATAATGCTGACATTTGAACCATGAAAATGAAGTCAAAGTCAGACTAAACTCCCAGACATCAAACACAGTTAACCTATTGCTTTTAATACCTGGGAAACAGACCTTACTTTAAAATGTTAAGATTCATTTGATCAAAAACTACGAAAATGTGGGGAAGGTTAGACGAACCCTGTCAAACAGACATTTAAGCCTTACAATCATTCTATACTTACAATGTAGTTGACCTAATGCTTATAGTATCTGATGATAAACTGACAAAACCACAAAAATGTAACATTGAACAATGAACCATAACCATGAGTTCAAGGTCATATGAACCCTGTCTGACGGACTTGTACACCTTACAATCATTGTATACACCAAATATAGTAAACATATTGCTAATAATATCTGAAAAACGAACAAAACACAAACATATTGCACTAACCAATGAACCATGAATATGAGGTCACGGTCAAATGAAACCTACCAAACAGACATTTACACCGTATAATCAGCTGTCCATACACCAAATAAAGTTGAACTCCTGCTTATGATATCTGAGATACGGACTTGAACACGTATAAATGAAAGGAGGCTGAGGTCAGGTGAACATTCTCGGACGGACATTTAGAACTTAGAAGGCTCCCGTGTACCAAATATAGTTATCCAATTACTCATAATAAGTGAGCCATTCACATGACCAAAAAAACTATGCAATTTTGTAAGCAGTCGCTGAACCATAAATATGAGGTCAACGAAAATGGACATATGACAGAAGAAAACTTCGTAACATAACACATATGTTTACAATTTAGGTATGAAGCATCAATATCTTCTATCCTCTGATATTATAAAGCTTTATACAAGTAGTTTACGCCACCGCCGCCAGATTCTAATAACTATGTCTCGTATTCCGCGACCACAGTCGTATGCAAGACAAAAAATGAATAAGTGTAAGGTTAAAAGGTTATATATGTCAATGACACAAAAACTCAGCAACACAAACAAAATAAAAAAGTTGTTTGCATACATATTTACATGTACAGTAATATGTGCTTTGGGATTTAAAATATTTGGTTAAAATAATGTTGTTTACTTTTCTAGTTTGCTCAATTCTTTCATTTTGTTTTCTATATGTTAGCGCTAGATTATGGAAAACAAAAACATAAGTACGTGGAAAACAATAACTAAAACATCTTATAAAAGAATACTTGCAGTTTCTAAGTACTAAAATGAAAATTTTTGGTCCTCTTTGTTTTCGATTTTTCTCTAATTTTAGTATTGTTTATGCGATTTTGTAATTTGATCTTTTAGATGAAAATCTATTATATCTTTCACGTAAACTTACTATTGTATCCCTAGTCAATATGTTTTTGTGTATGAAATGATGTATGGTAATTGTACAAAAGTCACTCAAAATCCAAATATATCTTTTAAGTTGTGTTACGTGTCATATAAAAGTATATTTGTATGTTACGATGTTAGTGTATTTTCAAAATCCTAGATAGTCATAATGTTATATTTTTTTCTAGATATTAAAAATTTGAAACTTACTGAAGGGATATGGCTTCAGTACAAGCAGTGTACAATGTGAACACCAAAAGGGATGAACACACAATTTTTTCAAAGCCTATTACATTCATATTCATCATAGGATACTAATACTTCCTGCATTAAAAAAAGAAAAACATCGTAATATACTTCCTTTCATATGTACAATGTATATGGCATGTGAACTTAAATCATAATTAAAATTATATTGATTGATTGATTCCATATACTATGTGTCTGGTACTGAAAAACACATTTGAACGAAAGAGATATATGCTACATATGTAATAAAATTGTTTGACTGATTGAAGTCCCTACCTGATGGCTGAAAAGATAAATCATCAAAGTAAAAAAGAAAGTAAGATTGTTGTTAGCTAAACGTCCAGTGGCAAATAGATCGTCCATATTCAGCAAGAAATTTTTTTACAATAAATTCAATAGGTAGGTTCTGTAAAATGGGTGACCGGGATGAAGGGCGGGAATTTCGACTGTCACTGGTAGATGAGGGTATGTTCGAAAAAGGCAGACATTTTGCCTTGCAACATGCCATCTTAATGAGTAATTTTCACATTTTGAATAAATCGTCCTTGTTCCGACTCTGCGTATTTTTACATCACACACAGTAAACGGACGCCCCTCTTTAGAATGGATTTTACTGCAAGCTTGGAGAAGTCAAGGATTAACCATATTTATATTCCCTTTTCAACCCTTAGAATTCAAATAAATGAGAGGTTATTCAAATGATACAATAGAATAATAAATGATAAAATACAAATAAACTTGTCAACACCTGACCGCGGATTAAATCCATGTGTCGTAGCCAAATTCCCGCCCTCTTTCGTATTTACGACTGCAATATATCACCCAATTGAACTTAATGCCGGATTCCTACTTTTAGTAAGCAACACGACATATGCAACAAATCGAGCATTACTCGCTCCCCCTTCCAGAGTACCTGCTTATATCCTAAATGTTTGTTGAGGTTTGTGTTGCACACATCTCAATTTCTCTGTAGTTTTTTGGTTGAGATTTTTTTAATCTTTCTTTCTCTATATGGCCGTTGTGACGTCTTTCTTTTTGAGACTATGACTTTAGAATCCAAATGTATATCCACTTCCTTGTTGTGAATGTTTACCAGCATAAATAAACGGTCTTAACAAAATCCTGCTATTCGCCTGTGTAAGAGGATATGATATCAAGTCAAGGCAGGATTATGGACATTGACTGCAAGATGCATTTTAGGTAGATTTTAAATTGAAATGACTATTATACCAGAAGGTGGCTTTAAATAAAGATCTACTTCTTTCACTTGCAATGCACGTACAAAGTCGGGACTATGACGTGCAAAAAGAGATTGTTCTCAAGAGAATCCTTTGATGAGACTTTCCCAAAAAGTAGCAAGTATATTATCAAAATAAAGTGATAATAAGAATTACCACAAACATTGGACGTTACAACAGACCACACAAACCACTAACACCAGACTCATCAGAAAAGAAAACAGGCGTACAAACAATGGTCATGGTTAGGCTGAATTGGTACTGACACAAAACTGTCATATACTGGTATCATCTAAAATAATCCTCTTAACCTGCTGATACATCATTAAACAAAGGAAAACACCTTAAATTTTAAAGTTCAGCTATATTTTTTTAAACACACACTTATTTACTCATAATCAATTTATGAACTGAAACAATACTCAACAAATAGCAGAGAAGATTAATCGAAAACTGAAGAGGAAGTGCCAGATTTTCCTGTTTATTTTTCCTTCATAGGAGGGTCAAATAAAAATGTGACAGTTGTCTCTAAAGTTTCAGAAATTTGAACATCAAAGAGTTTACATAACATACTTAAAACCTTTCCCGGTTGTATGGCGGAAAAGAAGCTAACACCAATGATGAAATCTCCAGTTTGTTCCAACCAGGGTTAAACTCAGGACATCATGCTCTCTAAGTCAGTATGCTACCACAGGAACACCGAGGCGTTTATTTATTATTTGGCTATAAATAAAGGAAATGTGAGACATCAGTCAAAATCTATTTAAGAGAGATGAATTTTATCTCAAAAGGACAAAAAACATATTCATATGTATTCAGTTTCGAATGTTTCAAAATTAAGTTTATTTATAGTCTGCATTAGCTGTACACCTACCTCAACATTGGTTATCCTTTCACATATACTGATGGTTTAAATGTAGAGGAAATAATAAATTTCGTACTTCGAAAACTTCCCTATCACCAGTGGTATGGTTTAAATAGTATTGAATTTTGAAAAAAAGTAATTTAAATAAAATGCGGAACTTCTCATGCATTTAAAATTTACAAACTTCTTCCTCAATTATTTGCAAATTAAGCATAATATAATTACCTATTTATAACCCTATATGATTATATGACAATGATCTTGTTCCTGTTATCAATTTTATTATGTTGGTTCGCTTTGTTGTAATTTTTAATTTCTTTTTGACATATGCGCGTACAAATTATCATGAAACTAAATTATATAAAAAAGTTCTTATTTTAAAAAGGTTAATATGATGTACTACTTACTTTTTCTTCGATTATAAAACTACCGAATGTGACTGATCACCGAATTTGTACTTGTCATGTGCAACACGATATTAAATTAAGGATGTGACTTTCGTTTGTGATAAGGTTTTTACAGGTACAGATTAACTTGCAAACCAAATCTTTACATCTATAAAATAATTTCGTAAAGATTTTTAAATGTACATGTAATATAATTTGTGGTAAAGAAATCTCCGACTTAATAATTTACCAATTATACATAAATTACGTCCATTGAATCAAAAACGTGAATTAGCGATCAAATGTGGAATTAAATATACACACTGTAAAAAAGACAAAAAGAACACCACCGTCCAAACAATGAGTTTCCCGTATTAAACTGACATATTCCAATCAAGAAATAGACAATTATTGCTGTTTTATTAATTATATTTCAGGTCAGTTTCCTTGGATAAATTTCCGCAGTAAAATTAGTGAATTCTTGAGTATTTAAAGTAATTCTATCATCAAGTTAACAGAAAGTGTTATTTCATTTTTCCATTTAATGGAATTTAGGCAAATCTTTTTAAAGGTTTGGCCATAAAGTATGTCTTTAAAGTTAAAGGAACAAGTCTGCTATTACCAGAGCGCAATTAGTGCACATATGGATATCTTTTGTTGCTGTCGTTGGTTGCTGACTGTTATATTTGTTTTTCATTTATATTTTTGTCGCTAATCAGGCCGTTGGTGTTGCATTTGAATTGTTTCCCTTTTTGTCAAGTGGTGGTCTTTTATAACCGACTATACGGTACAGGTTTTTTTTGTTTCATTGCCGAAGGGCGTACGGTGACATTTAGTTGCTCATAACCGTGCCATTTGGATATGGAAAGTTCATAATTGTAAAATTTAAATCATCCCTTTTGTCCTCAACCGACTCTAGTTGTCAATTTCTAAATGTAAATCAAGATAAAAGACCGATTTTATTGTATATGTGGTATCCTTTATTTCAAGTTCCATTGGATAGATGCGTTTGATAAAGTAATAAAAAGAGGCAGAACATATCAAGTGGACACTCAAAACTCATAATTTAGGAGATACTAAATGCCATGGCAAAAGAAAACGAAAGACGACAGTCAGACAAACAACTTCCAAAAACAAAACAAAGAAAACAAAAGATTGAGCAATACACACTTTATCCAAAAGATGGCATATTTCATGTGTATCGGTAGGGTTGGCATATTCTGCTCCACTTGTGGCGCCCATTATGTTGTTCATGGTATGTACCTATTGATAAGTCTCGTTCGTTGATGTCACAATCACGGAAAAGATGACGGAATTGTGGTTACGACAATTAAAACATATCCGGGGTCATATGCGACACAAGGATTCCAAAAACGGCCCCACTACTCGTGATGGCGTTTGTAAAACTTTCGAAGGGATGACTTTATAACTTTATCACTTGAACCATTGTTTCAATAGCTTCCTTGTTAGCAGGAACCCTCTATCAAAGGAATCACAAAACTTTAAATTTGCATTGAGAATATATTTACATTTCGCATTTTATATAGCGGAATGTGAAGTTTAAAGATAATGCTTGACTCTTTTAAATATTCCTAAGAAGCTCCATGAGGAAGTCTGCTGCATATGAATAACAGAACAATTCGGTAAAAAGAAGAGCACAGTTGGTTTCCATAGACATAACGATTTTTGTTAACAAAACGTTCCTCAAACGTAAATATACTAGATTTTCTTTAAGGTAGCAATGAAATCATGCTCAACAGCTTCATAGTGGAACTGAGATATCCTCCATACGATGAAAGGACATCTATAACGAAAGCCAACGAAAAGACAACAATAACATATGAAATAGTCAACTATTGACAACCCCACACAATTATCATTGCAGAATGATTTTACATATGTATATAATGAAAAGAAATAGATAAAAAAAAAAACAGGAGACCACTTATAAAATAATGATTTAAAAAATCCAACGATCTAGTCACAGCAGCGACAATTATTACAAAATAAAAAATGAATTAAAATAAAAGGGATATTCAAATCGACATTACATATTAGTATTTTTGTGAAACTTTTTTTTTATGGATCTAGATACTCTTACAGGCAACTTTCAGGATTAAGTTATGTTGTCCTTGAATTATATGACGATGTTTTTACCTTATTGTGTGTCCAAATTTAACAGTGAACTGATGGCCTTAGTACTGGCATTATAATTCATACAATGTTTTAGGTGTAACAATAATGCTATATTTGTCAACTCAATGTCAACATTGATCGCATTAAAGGGGTCAGTTTACACTCCCAGTCATCAATTGCTTTTAGAGTTATATCATGTAATCACATTTTAACTAAACATGGTGTAATGATTATCTTATATTTTGTTGTATCAGCGACTCAATATCAACATTGAAAGCATTAAAGGGGTCCGTTTACCCCCCAGTAATCAATTACTTAAAGAGTTATATCATATAATCTCATTATTAACTAAACATGGTGTAATGATTATCTTTTATGTTGATGTATGAGGAAATGAACTGTTTAATAAATACGCAAAACTGAAGTATAATTTATATCAATAGTTCTATTATGAAATCTGACATCAAAGGGTTATATAAACATATCCTTGTCAAAAAATGACAGATCAATTTATGATATAAACGTGATACTTTAGTCTGGGAGAACATGATTTATTTATTAGTTGTTATTGGCTTTGAAATAGCTTTCAGTAATTGCTAGTACTCTTAGATCGATACTTTTTGTTTGTTGTCTTTATGTCAGTTGTTTATGGTTTAAAACGCTGCAAAGAACATCTGAATACTGTAACTTTAAATCTTAACACACTTATGAATTACAACACAGAAGATCTAACATCGGACAACTGTGATGACATTGAGAACATCATTCCATCTGTACCACCTACAGAAAAGAAGACGACGCTTAAAACGTATGTCATAAGACATGAATACCTCTAATATTATGGACAATTTCTCTAAACACAAGCTGACAGATACCGAAGCATTTCTGCTCTAGATCTCGAGAGGCCTTAATTTCTCTTCTTAAACAAGCCTTATCAATGAAACCAAATTGTCACAAGACCTTGACAATTTTATAGGAAATCTCAGCAGCAAAGAATTATTTTTCGCGTCGAAGGAAAATAACAACGAAAAATTGTTTGCGACTCAAAAAATTCGGATAACGAGAATAACTACAAAAACAGAGTAAAAGTACCACCTTAGAAGTCCTAATTGACAATTTTAAATTAAACATTCTTAGAAATACCAGGGAAAATAATAAATCTTCAGACAACCTTACCCTTGATGAACGAACTGCACTGACAAACATACGAAACCGCAACATCGTCATTACACCTGCAGATAAGGCAGTGGTCGTGGTGGATACTAAGGAAATCTGCCTATATTCAAGAAGCTGTCAACTTGGCGATGTAAGGTTCTACCGAAAGCTAGACTCTAATCCTACAATAACTTTCAGCAGAGAAATACCTTTTAGTTTTGTAGAAAAGCACAAGATGGTTCTATTGATGACAATACTCTTGAGGAATATTTGAATCCAGAAAATCCAAAAACAGGCAGATTTTATCTTTTGTCTTAGATTCACAAGGCTTATATCCCAAGCAGACCCATTGTTTCAGAACTTGCTGACTTTCATTTTGTCAACATGTTGACGATTTACCATCTCACATCAAAGACACAACTGATTATCATAGCAAAATGCAGGCCTTTAATCTTCTTGTTTCTGTGGATGTCAACTTCTTCTTCATTTCACTAATAAACATTGGTGCATGTAGAGAAGTTTGGGATTCTCAAGCAGTAAAAGCCTACTGAATGCCTGATTAAAATACCCATGTTGTAACTGAAGAACAACAACTTCACCTTTGTCGGAGATCACTAGCTACTTACAAATCAATGAAACTATTATTGGTACCAATAATGCCAAAATATTAATGAGCAAATAAGAAAAATAGCTCCTTGAATATTCGATCGAAAAACCGCCTTCCTGTTTTAGATTCATTGATGATGTGGACATTTTAATCATGGCATAAAAGTGACGAGGACTTAGATACATTTATCACTCTTGACAAAAATTATAATATATATCTGAGTATCAAATTTTCTCATAAGATATCTAAATCCAAAATCATCTTCCTCAATACTTTAACCTTTACATATAAAAATAAGGAGATGTGGTATGATTGCCAATGAGACAACTACCCACCAAAGTTCAAATGAAGTGGATGTAAGCAACATGCCTAGCCTACTTATACTCACCAAGACATGTCCCACAAAATTTGTCATCCTGTTCAATTGTTCAAAGAACATAACGACCGAGTCAACTCAAACCCCGCTGAAAGAGACGGTGCTATAAACACCAGAATATTTAAAGTAAATGCAGAAAGCGGAGAGAATTTCAAGGAGCAAACTAAACTGCCAGAATACAAAGATAAAATTAAGTATTCCATGTGCTCTAATGTATAACCAATCTGTAAAGAAAGAGCTTCGGTGTCATTCGTGAACTTTGTGAATCAGTTGAAAAGAATCACAAACTACCTAAGATCTTTTCGAAGCTCAAGACAAAGTTCAAAGACATCATTTAAATGTATTGTACAATTAACATATAATTGGCTCAAATGGACTCTTCAAATGGAGGTTTGCGTCACCAAAATAAAATCGTATAGCATCGTTGAAATTTTCATTTTAATCGAACTCTTGCCTTTGAGTTTGTAATGTGTAACTGACACCAAGCACATCGATGAAACCTTTTGACTCACAAGTCGTTGACGATAACATATCTTTACCAATATTGCCATTAGTTAGCATATGTATATGTGTTTATGCTATTTGATACAAAGAATTAAGTATAAATCCTTTTTTGTTGACGTTCTTGTTAGATTTATTTATATGTTTTGGAGTGTTTTAGTCATTTGTGTTTTATGTCTTTGATGTATGTTTACATAGTTTTAGCTGGTGGATCCCAATTATTGCCACATTAACCTAATATGACTATTCGGTTTGATCACACAATAGGAATCGATGCTATCAACATCAGCAACGTTCTTAATCACAAAGAGGTAACATCTAAAATACCGCTATATTTTCAAAATCAGTCTGTTCTTACTGTATCCTATAATTACACCAAAACCATTGCACATAAAACAAGATATTGATTTAGAAGAATACTTGAAAAACCCTCTTACATGTGACTGTTCACACTCTCCATATATTCACAAGCCCTCTGGCCATGTAATTACTAGTGATCTACATATTATTCAACATGAACATATCTTAAAGGTGATATCTGATGGTCCAAAATGTAGAGAGCCAAAAAAACATCATTTTTCACTTGTTCAGTTGATTGATAGCGTTTAATTTTGACGGTTTTTATGACTTCCCCTTTTTCTATTATCCTTGGAGTTCAGTAATTGTGTAATACTTTTTTGTGTTAATATAACGGAACTATAAACAACTGTCATACAAGTGGGAAGTTTAGCTAGCTATAAAACCAGGTTCAACCCATGAGGGAGGGATTGTGCTTGATTTTCATATGATGTGGACATAATCTTTCAATCAGTTTAATTGAAGTCCGGAGCTTGTCAGTAACTGCTAGTAGTCCATTGTTAATTTATGTATCATTGTCATTTTGCTTAGTTTCTTTTGTTACCTATTCTGATATCGGACTCGGACTTCTTTTAAACTGAGTTTTATTGTGCGTATTGCTGTGTGTTTGTTTATTCTACATTGGCTAGAGGTATAGGGAGAGGGTTGAGATCTCACATAACATGTTTAACCCCGCCGCATGGTTGCGTCTATCCCTAGTCAGGAGCCTCTGGCCTTTGTTAGTCTTGTATGTTTTTTTTAATTTTTGTTCATTTATATGTTTTGGAGTTTATTGTGACGTCCATTTTCACTGAACTAGTACACATTTTTATTTAGGGGCCAGCTGAAGCCCTCCGACGGGTGTGGTATTTTCTCGTTGTGTTGAAGACCCATTGGTGGCCTTCGGCTGTTGTCTGCTCTTTGGTTGGGTTGTTGTCTCTTTGACATATTCCCCATTTTCATTCTCAATTTTATGTTGTGTCTTTTTTGTTGTTAGGGGTGTATAAATACCCTGCCACGTCCGGTCTGTGTTTTTGTTATATGTTTTTCTGCTCTGATCTGATAAGTAAAGCCCTATTCAACTGATTTTTATAGATAGTTCTTATGTTGTGCTGTAACACTACTGTCCCAGGTTAGGGGGAGGTTTGACCGCTTAATCACATGTTTAACCCCGCCACTTTATGAATGTGCCTGCCCCTTTCTAAAACAAAACAAACACAAATCAAGCAAAAGTAAAAGTAAATTAAATTAATTTTATTAATGTAAAAGATGCATGATTTTAGTTACGAATTATTGCATAAGAAACACTTGCTATATATAAATATATCAAGTTGCTGTTCATGACATGCGAAGGTTTTGAGCTACAGTTAACCATTAAAATGTCAATACAAATGTGAACATGTTAATATAAATCTCACTTAAATAATATTTCCTTGTGATTTGTATTGTGTTTACTACAGAAATGAGGTAAGTGATACGCAATGTTTTATTATATACACTTTGTCTATATGTAAAAATGTATTGTATAAAAATCTATTCACATTGACATTGATACGAAAACCTTGTTTCATTAAAAAATACATGGTCAGTTTTCCATGTACACAGTTACAATCCAGAATAGGATATTGAACATAATATACACTACTGGAAATGCAAATCTCGATATAAAATCTATCCGCTTTGCTTCTTTCATAAACGGACGATGATCCTGTGTCTCTATCTTTTTGTTGTTCGATGATTTAAACTGAAAAGAAATAAGTGCATGTATTAACCTAAAAATTGCACATTAATGTTAATTGATATACCAGAGACATGTTTACTGTGTCAAATATCCATCACGTCTATCTGATATTATTTACCGATTCTGTTGTGTTCATGACCTGGACACTTACTACTGAAGCGATCATCATGGCAATAATTAGCAAGACTGTCATAGTCCTTATTTCATACAGGCTTATTCGAATGAATGAAGTCGATTTAACAAAAATGTAACTACGCGACAGACCTTCCACTTGTATGATAGTCTTTGACAGATCATATTTATGTTTGCACCAATAAGTTAATTGGTGTCCCTATTCATATCGTACGGTAATCAGTATTTATATATTCTATAGGGACATCATTATTTCAGTTTTTGAAAGGGCGCTTGTACACAGATGACCATAGGTATGTTACCATTATCGTTCCCTCAAGCCTTCCTCTATTCGTGGATTGTAACATCACTAAATCAGAATTATCACCGTATTTGTGCTTATCATGAGAAATGGAGTGATGACACATAGTAAGCAGGATCTGCTGACCCTTCCGGGGGACATAAGATCATCCCCTGTTTTAGTAGGGTTCATGTTGCTCCGTCTTTCGTTTTCTATGTAGTGTTTGGTAAACTGTAGTTTGTCTTTTTTGCTATGGTTTGGTCGGCTTCTCTTGGACATATATACGTTTAGATTGCCCCTTTAGCATTTCCCGGTTTGTTAATCAGTCAGCATGACAGAATGTGAGATGGCGAACCTCACACCAAATACAACTTGCTGATGGATATCCAACATAACAAAAAACGATTAAAAATTCGCTAAGATAAACCTAACAATAAATGTAATGAAGATGAATCAATTCCTTTCTGTATATTTAAAAAAGTCCAAAAATTACCTCAATAATGGGTCGTTTCTTCCTAGATAATACATTGACAACCGAGAACTCAACCATTGCCCCAAAAACGAACAAAATGTGGGATAAACTCCAAACATCTATGGCCTTAATGTACGAGACTTTTGGAGCATATCTTCTAGCAGCTGATCCTTGTGAGGATATCGTCAGAACAGTTACAGCACCCAACGACACACGTGCTGGAACTGCCTCCGGATGTAACCAGAACGTAACCCATGACAACAGGACAATGAGAACATCCGGAATGAACACTTCTGTCATATAGTATCCTATAGACCGGTGAAATTCTATGGTAACCTCCAAATCCGAATATTTCGACGCTAAAAGTTAAAAAGTAGTGATGCGATACAAATATAACAATACATCTATATAATAAATAAGTTAATCTTCTGTTTTACATAAAATAAATTACAAAAAGGAATAAAGAAAAAACAATGACAAAATTGTGACTTATTTCATTTGAAAATCATAATTTAGACAATCCCCTAGAACTTGCATCATGGGTTAAAATCCTACGGATAAAAAAAAAATGCATTTTGAATTTGTATAAAAAAAGATACGTGTACAAGCGTATTCAATCATGCATAAAGCCAATATCAGAAGCATCCACTTACCTGTAAGGTCATGATAGTTTATTGATACAGAAGTTTTTGGTCCATGAATTTCATACAACGGAAGATTAAAGTGTTGAATGTTTACAGGACTTATCTCTCGCCATGCATATTGTAGTCTGTCAAGAGTAAGACCAACTGAAACACAGAAACGTCACTTTTTAACAAACATATCAGAGATACCAATACATAAACATAAAGTTCAACTAACGTGTCGATTAATGTTCCTTAACTAAATGTATCTTCTTTTCTCATTACATCCATGTATATGTTTTGAGTTGGAGCGGTGCTACCCCTTACTTAGTAGATTTTTACCGCCCTCCATTAGCTGCGCTAGTTGGCTCATGGCATCGCAGAGGCTTATTGTGCCAGGGGTCAAGGGTTCGAATCCCGGTTGGTACAGTAATTAATTTTGGAAGGCAAGCAATGCTTTCAGGTTACATTAGGTATGTATTAACGTTTTATAAAAAATTTGAAATGGTTTCCGAATTAAATGAAAAATACCCAAACAATAGATAGGCAAGTGCGAATATGATGACCCGCAACTCATATTCATTTGTTTTGTATTTTTTATTGCCCTTTTTAAGGTAGTTTTTCTATTATTTAAAAAAAAAAATATCAAAATCCAAGGTTCCTAAAATGTAAATAAAAAGAAAACACCATAAAAAATCCCGAGATAATCGCCATTTTCCTGACTTGGATTTGTAAAGACAATACAGTTGGAGAATTACACAATTATTATTTGCTAGTGTCAAATTTTATTATTTTGACATAAAAGGTTCAGCTTTTCCTATCAACTGCGCTTCACTCCGATCATTTATTTATGATTATCTATACAAAAGTACAACTGGTATTGATTTTGATAAACATTTAGAAATCGTTAAACCTTAGAGCAGACAATCTTTTTTCATAAAATATACATCTTGTTACGTTTTGGACCAAATTCAAATTTTATGTTAAGAGTGCAACATTGAACAAGTGGATCACCATTTAATTTGTTCATTCTGTTCAATAAAGCAATAGTCATTATTTTGTTCGAAAAATATTTGCGTAGAAAATTGATTCTTGAATATGCTGGAAACATATAGAGAAATTATCAATCTTTTTCATAATAGGCGACACAAACTTTCGACAGTATTTTTTAATGTACGAATTTCACTACACTTTAATTCTTTAAATCCAATCAAATAGTCTGAAATGAATTTCACAAACATTTTTACTACTTAAATTGATTGTAAGTCTTACACAATTCAGTTTACTTACAATCAATTTTAGTCTTAAGATTTTTTGTGAAACTCATTCTTGGAAATAATTGCATTGGAGGCAGGAGTAAATACGGTGATCTCTGATTAACAATTTATCAGATGTTCATCTAAATTTGGAAAAAGCAAATTGAAAACAAAACTTACAGCTCTCTATAACTACTTTACATTCCTGTTTGTCTAACGGATAGAGGTGAAAGTCCATTGAACATGATAGTTTTAAAGACAACCTGAAAAGTAAATATTCTTTTTTTACAATTTCCAGGTTTTCAACGTGTAGTTTTATTTCTTCAAGATATAACAAAAGATTCGACTTTCTGATCATCTGTCTATGTAATTTCGAAAATGAGAAAACTTAAAATATGAAATTATTTGAAAAGTGTAAAAGTTAGAAACAGGTTTTTCCAAACTAAAAAGGAGATTTAAAAGTGACACATTTCACTCTGACAATTAGGTTCCATGCACAGAAAAATGTATATGAAAAATTAGCATTTTACTCCCAATTTTATTATAATTGTGTTAACGAAGTTTCAATAAACCAGATATTTGAAGTTTTCCATTATCTCATTCGACAAAGAGCGGCATGATTGATGACTGTTTTACTGAGATACTTTGTTAAAAATAAAATAAACAGAACACAGATTAAGTTGTTAAAACAAACTTGGTGCCAACAATTGTCAAAGAAGTGGTACAAATACATTTACTGTGCATTGATTAAATTGATTTGTAAATTCAATAGTAGTTTTATACTATGAACTTTAAACTGAAATTACTTTCTCACAATAGCAGTAATAAAGTCAATGTTAATGTGTAAACTTTTATATTTTTAATGACATTAAACTAACAATCCGCTGCTGGTTAAATTTGATTCCCGATGTAAAAATTTAATGTTTTCAATAAAACAACTATATTTTACCTGAGGCGGTTTCTCAAAATTTCAAACGTTGGCCTCAAGTGTAAATGATGAAGTTAATCCCAGAAAATACAATTAAATACATGTTTTGATCACGGAATTCAAATATTATACCTTTTATTTTTTTTTTTTAATTTCTATCCATAAACGGATTTGCAACCAATTCACGTTAAAACCGCAATAAGTCTACGAATATTCTTCTACAATGCAACATGTAATCTTTGTTGGCGAGACTTTCAGATTTATAGTTAGTAATCTATCATTCTTTGATTTACCTCATGGCATAGATAACTGAACCATTCTTCATTATGTGCAGATAAGTGTTTGCCTTCGAAATATCGAGTAGCTTTCCATTTTTAGCCTGTAAAAAGAACGTGTCTGGAGTCCACACTCTTGTTATGTCTTTCTGGTCTAACTGTATCTGTTCCAAATTGGTGTCTTCAAAATTTAATCGATAATCAGTCCATTCTTGAAAAAGATCTAATGTAACTGAAAAATCCTGAAATATCACCAAAATAGTTTTTTTTTATTCACAAATCAATCTGATCGATTTTTACTTTTGAACTAGAAAACACAATTATGTTGGGTTTTTTTTAATAATTCAAGCACTATTTACTTCATTGCTAAACGAATATAGCAACAACAGTTACCGTTTAGAACGTTCACTTGTCTTGCGAGTGAAACACTTTAAAATATAGAATATTTCATAATCTGTTTCACAATATTCAATAGTATTCCGACTATTTATTTCACTGTAGTATAAAAATGTGATTGTAATACAAAAAGGCCCACAACAACCGTGCCGCTCTTCTGACATCTATATTCATATATAATATACAATTGTCGAGGAATAAAAAAGTAGCTTGAAAACTCGCAGTTGCATTAAATTCTGAACCGGAGAAAATGGATATATAGGTAAGTATAATTGTGATAATATAATATATAAACGCAATACAATAAGCCAATACGGACAATCACATATAATGAAATTATAGAAAATAGAGATTACGTGAATGATGATTATGTAGTTTGATTGAAAGAGAGCTGGCATGGGTCACCCTCCGGATATATTGCTGACAAAAAACTATGTTTAATTTTGAAACTTGAATTTTGATTTTCAACCATCTATGCCAGATTATAAAACAATAATTTAACAATCATTTCTCTTGCAATCCCATTTTAACACAGTTATTCATGATTCCACATACCAACCTGTAGTAAAGTCAACATAAGATTAACCAATTGAAGTTTGTATATGATCACTGTAGTAAAGTCAACATTAGATTAACCAATTGAAGTTTGTATAGGATCACTGTAGTAAAGTCAACATTAGTTTAACCAATTGAAGTGTGTATAGGATCACTGTAGTAAAGTCAACATTAAATTAACCAATTGAAGTTTGTATAGGATCACTGTAGTAAAGTCAACATTAGATTAACCAATTGAAGATTGCATAGGATCACTGTAGTAAAGTCAACATTAGATTAACCAATTGAAGTTTGTATAGGATCTATTTCTACATAATAAACATTTATATACAAAAATCAACTGCTTGTTTAATTATAGACTGAAAAGACGGACGAAAAGTGTTATGTTCATGAAATTTATAAAGTTCAAAGCAGGTAGGTAAATTGGACAAATCTTACAAGAATTGTAACTAAAATAAATACTCATTACAAGACATTTACCAAATAATTGCACAATATTGTCAACGACGGCGGAAACGGAGCAAATGAAATGCATCAATATTTTATATATCTATTTTTTTTTTTAGATTAAAGGCTTTTTATAAGTTGTTCAAATATACCGGAAATCACATTTGTTTCTTCTCACCGTTGTGTTGTTTCTCCTTCGACTTTTGACTTTTAATTAGATTAAGGTATTTTCTTCTTTTAACATGCATATTAATCTTTTTTCTTTTAACATGCATTTTTTTCTTCTTTTAACATGCAATTTTCAACATGTAATCTTCTTCCTTTAAATAGCAATCTTAGCTCATAATTGCTATAACTATTAGCTTAATATTAATTATTACGGGACAAAAGTACCATATTGCCTGTTTGTACTCCTGTATTCAATTAACTCAATAGTGGCCATGTTGTTAGCGTAAAATGTTATATTCAATATGTGACATCCTTCAGACATGTTTTGCCATTGTGGTTTGAATTAGCAAAGAGATTTTTTATAGAAAAAAGAGGCACGACGCAGGCAACGTGGTATAAAAAGATCAAACTGGACATGGTCTTTTGATATGAGTTGGATAAAAACAACTGAGATAATTTTAATTACCATTTCACCTTCATTTATATCAAATATTTGTGAAAAATCTAAGAATACTGTGACGATAGTTGCCTGTGATTCTTCAAGTTCTGAAAAAGAAAACCACGTTCGTTATTCAAACAACAAACCAGGAAAATGAATCAATTCTTCCATTCATTCAACAATTCAGTCAACAACTATATCAATCAATCTGTGTACTGGACACAAAATCCCTTTAAACAAATATAATCTTTTTTGATGATATTGAACATGTATTTATCCAGAAGTGGAAAATTGTTTTACAGCAATTGAAATAATTAATAATTGAAACAAACTCTGCTCGTTCGACATTCCTCTCTTAACAAAAGGAAAGAATAATTTGTGTAACGAAAAAGTCAATAATTTAAATGTACATTACTAACTTATTCATCAATTTAGTAGATATATAATTGAAAACGATTTTTTTTTTTTTTTAAATTTGTTTTGAACTTTTGATGATTGCACAAAATATTAAGTTCTGCATCATTTAATTCATATTTCGTGAAAACTTCATTGTATGTTTAATCTCATCATATAAAGGTACATGACACACATAAAGGTACATGACACACATAAAGGTACATTGACGTTCCTCCTCAGACCAGTGTTCTCAGGGGACCTCTATTTGGCTGTGTGGGATTTATAAATATGCACCCACATCAGTTTAATGGGGACTTTAAAGCCGATGTCCATGATTAAAAGGAGTCACACACTCTACACGAAAAATAATCCCTGAAGACTTAACTCTGAATGGTATGCAGTTGACCTAATGTAAAGTAATTTCTGTCCTCATTCAACAAACTAATGTTTTGTAAGAACCTGTCTTATTGTTGTTTTGTCATGTTTGTTCCTCGTCCTGAATATGCCTGAAATATGTGTCACTGGGCTTTAAGCAATTCATTATAATATACTTGATCATGTTGATCATTACAATTTAACCTTGATTGTGTGTAATTCTAATATAACTTACTGCCGTAATCAACTCCTGGTGGAACTCGTTGGTCGTATGATGAATTCAACATGGAATCTAAAGTAAATTGTCTAAAACAGAAACAAAATAATGTCAAATAAAACAATGATCTTTACAGTTCGGATCCCTACCTCGGGAATTGGAGTCCTATCAACGGGGCCCAGTACCCCAAAAATTGCCAAAGGTAGCAAAGAGCAAATGTGGTGACCGATGGAGCAAATTGCAAACGATAAGATTAGGATTGAACGAGGAGCCCAGACACCGTGCTATCTTCCAAATTGTCAGTTTAAGATAACAATACACAGTTTAGAAATGAATTTTAAATTGACCTACATAATTTGAACCATTGATTTTTTTTCTATTTTCCTGGCTTTTTCACAAATTAAGCTAATTGTTTGTGTCATACATGTGCATATATATTATTCTATTTGAAAAAAAATAATAAGGGTCAAAATGATATAACCATACTCTTAACAGTGTATTGATGCCTAAGATTTTTGCTACATCCGTCATAAATGAGGATCTGAATGAGGTTTACAGAATAGAGTAGAATGGGCAAAAAGTGCAGAATAAAGGACAAAAAAAAGAATAGAGAAAATTGGAAACAAAAAAATAGAGAATAGATAATAATAGGGTGCTTAAAAATGAAGAACAGAGAAAAATGATCTATAAAATATACCAAACAGAAACTAGAACATCAATCACAATAATAATTGGAGGTTATGAAAAAAGTAATGATCATTGTAAGAAATACCATCTTTTCTTAATATTAAACGAAGCCCTTAAATACAAATGTATGTGTAAAAGAGAAGTGCTAGTGCAAAAATAATACTTTACGTCCCAAGCGCTTTTCCGAATTTACCTCCATCAGCAATGCTCAAACCCAAACAATTAAAAGCTAGGTTTGTATACAAACGTAGAAACGTTAGACAGTGTAGTCAATGTTATTTGAAACAAGTATGAACGCAAGTAGGCTGCTAGATAACAGCTTTATTATATATGTTTTTTTTTTTTATTTAATTACAGCACGCTTGTCTGTGCAA